ATGAATCTTAAATATCTTTGGACAAAGTTGGCAGCAGTGCAGTTTTATCTGTAGTGTTCATGTGACTGAATTTGCCATCTGTAGCTGAGGATCATAGATCTGGGGGATTTTCATATAAAGAATGGGGATGTAACACTGAGGAGTGTGGTGGAGAAGCACCTTGGGGAATGAATAATTCCATTACAAGCTACAGAGCTTAGATGGTACTCAGTAAACAAGACCTCAGACCTCATTGTCAAACGATGAATAATTGGTATGAAGCAAACATCCATCTGTTTGAATGAAGGTGCTTATTCCTCTCAGAACAACAGATCAGTGCATAAATACAATCCTGTCTGGGTCAATAGGTGAAAAGTATTGAGCTTGCAGCAGAGCACAGGTTGTCACTGGTGTTTCTGTTTCAGGAGCACAGGGTTACACATGCAGAAGGAGCAGTTGTCCTTTCAGCTGTCAGGTGAGGTGCAAGGCAGAAAATTCAGTCTCTCATTTCTGCTAAGTGCAGAACAGTGATAGCTGTGGGTGACATCAGGAAAAGCTGTAGATACTGGACAGTAAGTGTATTAATGTTTAATTGCACAGCAGTTACTGTAATAGTGATGAATATATTTCATCCCTTTGGAAAAAAATAAAAATAGATTGATATATGCATTTATTATGATGGAAAATGAGCCTTGGTATCAGTTGAGCAGCCATAAGTTAAGACTCTGCTTGACAGCTTTAAGAGAGTTCGAGCAAAGTGTTGAGGGCACTTTTTCCATAATATTTTTTTCCAGCTGTGTGCATATAACATATGCTATATGCATATAGCATTGTGATAGTCTCTTAACTAGCAAAGGAAAAAAGCAGGTTTTTCCACTTTCATACTTCAGAGATTTCATTATGAAGGATTCATTTAAAAAAAGAACAGAGTAAGTGTCACCTTCCTATTAAAAACGTTGTGTTTCTGTAGGAATTTCTTGGGCTTGGCTTACCTGGAAACACAGAGGCCACTGTCACCTTCATAAGGCCTTCAAGAATCACTTCCTACAGCAGTTCAGTGGTCCAAAGGAGTAACATGAGTATTGTGTCCAGCTCTGGGCTCCTCAGCACAGGAAGGCCAGGGAACTGTTGGAGTGGCCTCTGAGGAGGGCTACAAAAATTATCAGAGGAACACTTCTCCTATGGGGAAAGGCTGAGAGTTGAGGCTGTTTAGTCTGAAGGAGAGAAGACTGATTGCAGGGTTGCACTGGATGACCTTTAAAGGTCCCTTCCAACCCAAACTGGTCCATGATTCCATACTCCTGGGAAAGAATGTGATCCAAGTTCTCTATAGTAGACTCTTAATCAACAAAGTAATTTTTTAAAATTTTGCTAAGATTTATGCAAGTATAAGTACTGTGTTTATTAATATTTAATGTTACACTGAGATACTGAGATGTCCTTCTGGTCTGTACTGTGGTAGATCTTGAATAGAGCAGGTGAAAACCACAGCTGGCACAACATTTAGGAGAATGGTCTTCAATACAAGATTTTCAAGATAGAAACAGATCTTTTCTTGTTTTTTTCCTTAAGCAGAAGAAGAGCCTGTACAACTTAGACAGGTACTGTTGACGTTTTTACAAGCACCACTTGGAATATGATCTTACTCTTCCATGGTGTTTACATTATTTCCTTTGCCTGAATAAGGGATTTCTGACAAATGGATTGAGTGCAGCATAATGACTCACAGGGATGTTTTAAAATTTGAAGGATACATGAGCTTAAAATGAGGAAAGAGACAAGAACACTGTGCAAAGGAAGGTGGAAGGTTCTGATACATCTCTGGTTGTAAGTTGTGAATTGGTCTAGACTGCACTGATTTCTAATGAAATGCAAGTGAAGCAAAAAGGACTTTAGGTAAAAAATGTATTTCAGTCAAAGTTGAAATTACCGTGTCCTACTGAACCCAAATCTGTATGAAACGTGGCACGTTCTTTATGGCAGCTTTTCTTCCTTGAAAGACAGCTGTTTTCTGGATCTTTATTATGGTTCTCCCACCTCATTTCATATATGTGGGTTTTGTGCTTCAGTCGATGTTTTTGTAAATGACTTACCTGAGCTAAGCCAGCTGAGGTCTCGTTGGTTACTGGAAGGTGCAGTCCTTGCCAGCCCCATCATGATGGCCATAATACTTGCAAGGTCAGTCAAAATGGTCCCCACTGAAAATTAATATCACCAAAGAAGACTCCCTAGGGTAGGTTTGCAGTCAGGTCACTTTTCTGACAGGAAGGAACTAACAGAAACAGGCCTGAGAGATGTAACTTGAATTTAGGGCTCTTAAACTCATTATAAACTGCCTCCTAGATTTTCCCTGTGCTATCTAAAAACAGTCAGAAGCTGTAGCATGTATGTAGGATGAAGTACTTTTTCTTGTTTCATACAACTGTTAATCCTGAGAAGCAGTCTAGAGTTCAACTAAGTCATTTCAACAGAAGGAGGAAAGAGTGGGAGACAACTTGCAAGCAATCTGTTCAAATGAAAATTTGTCACTGCTGCAAAAGCTGCTTAAAGATTTTGCCCATTTCCCAAGAAGGCCATTTCACCTATCTTTTCAAGGTTAGGCTTGAGTTGAGATGTTCTTACTGGCTCAGCAAAGTCTTAAGCAGAGGCCAGCGCTTCCAGTGGTGCAGAACATATTAATTATGTAGTACTTTGTGGTGTGGACCACTGCCTGTCAAAGATCAGTAACAAAGATCACTGTATGCATTTCAATTAGAAGACTGTGCTCTCTGAAGTAGATTTTTTTTCTCCTCTCTTTATTCTTTCAACAGCCTAGCAACCCAGGGATGGTGCTTCATCTTAGATGTTTTTTCTGATTCCAGAATAAGTAGAAGAGCTAAGAAATTAGCTCCTCACTAAAAATGAGGATCTAAAATTATCTTCAGATAAATAAACAAATTTATACTTCTTGTCCTTACAGATGCTTTGAAAACAAATCCTGTCTAAATGTTCCCGTGTCTAGCAGCATCAAAGAAAGAACAAACAATTTACAGTGTCATAATGCTTTCACAAGAAAGGAAAACAATATTACAGAATGAGTCTTTCAGGCATAGCTTACACAAAGTTCATGTGAGTAACAGTATTTAACAGTACAATTAGACATGGATGGAGAGAGAAAACAGCCTACTTCTCAGAGGTCAATGATTCTTACTTATGTCTGTGACTTCAGTTACCATCACCAACTGTTCAGCCTTCATTTCCATTGATGCAGGTTTTGAAATACCTTGAAATGGCATGGTATGAGGGAGTTACAGCTTGCATTAAACTGGTAGTTTTGATGTAACAGTCACTGATTTCTGTAGGACTGGATGTTGAGGATGGCAGACAGAATCATGTTTAAAAATGCCACAGGTATGAGCATGCTTGTTTATCTCATCCCTCTTGTGCTCTCTCAAGCATCAGGATTTTGCATTTATGACCTTTGGTAGGAAGACCCTTGCAATTCTGTCATTTCAGTGCTGTGGTAATTACATGCTGCTTAGCCTTCTCTCTTGTCTTCAGTTAGGAGGTGAATCTTTGCTCTATATTATGAAGTCTTGCATCAGCAAATGGAAAAGAAAGAGGCATTAGATAAATGCGCATATTTTTCTTTAAAACACTTTTCAGCCTGTCAAATGCTTGGTTAGGAATTCCATGTTAGTGCACATGAATTGTCCTGCATATGTTTTTGTATCCTTCTTGGGAGTCTAGATCTGAGTGTTATCTCTTCCAGTGTCCTGCAAAGTCTGTATTTAGGAATGTTTCCATTACTATGGTGCCCATGTAATCTAAGCCTAATTACCATATTACTGCAGACTGGTTTTTACAGGTCTGAAGTGAATAGGCTTCCTTTTTTTCTCTGGACTTCTCTCCCAGCTGACCAGCTGGCAATTTAAAAATATTGTTGTGTTGACTGCATCAGAATTCAGGAGACTAATTTTCAGAGTATTGCTTCATTTTCTCTCTGTTCCAGTAACTTCAGTTGTGTTACTGATTTGAGTCATGCTTTTAATGCCTTTTGTGTAGTGCAAATAACAAAGTTACATCAAACCTGAAAGATTTTGTTCTGTTTTGAAGGAAGCAAGTCTTTCTGGGCTTTTGCTTTACTTGGAACTCCGGACTTCCCTAATGAATAAATAGTTTGATCTCTAATGTTGGAAGGCTGACATCAAATCAGAATGAAATGAAAGACAAACTGGGTGCTGTTAACAACAATCTAACTTACTTTTTAACAGCTTTGATTTGAACAGGAAAATGAATAAATGAAACAATAAATATGGGTATTATTGTGAAACATGAAAGTTTAGCAAAATTGTATGATGTCATGATGCCATGATCTTTCTTCTGTAGAGACATAATTTCTGAGTTTTGGCTATGCAACCAAATGAAAGCTAGTTTGCTGTTCTCCTATTCCTCCAAATGCTTCTGCAGTTTGCAAAAACAAATATGTAATTTTTAAAAATTCAGCATGCTTGGGAAAACCTTTTTCAAGATAGGACTCTTAAAGCATTACAGTTGACCTACATAGCAGAAGGGCTGAAAAAGCTTGATTTGTTTCACCTATACCCTGTGCTTTGTTCAAACTTGTATTGTTAATGCCTCATTTTTCTTGAAACCAAATTTATAAAACATATATTCACATAAATTTACCTTCTTCCCATATTTTTTCTTCCAGCTTAGGATGCTCTCTTTTAGACTTTTCAAAGTGAGGACCTATCCCCACAAGCCTCCAGCTTTTGAAGGTGTCAGGTGTTTTGATAAAAGGCTGCTGTGAAACAAACCAGCATTCCCCCTCTAGCTATGGTTAAGGACCTCCCCATTTGAGGCTTTCTTGTATTTTTAGAATGTGCTTTAAAGAGGATGTATTATCCCGCTAATAGTGCTCACTGACAGCTGAGAAAAAGATTTATATAGCATTTCATAGCACTGTAACTTTTGTTGAATTTTTGAGTGCACTATTTGAACTGTTCATAAAAAAAACTTCTAATAAACTCTTCCCACAGAAACTGAAACAGAAGAATCAGCAGCTGAAGCAGATCATGGATCAGTTACGAAATCTTATTTGGGACATAAATGCCATGTTGGCAATGAGGAACTGAACAAGGAAAATCAATCTTTGTACCTGAAGAAGATACAAATCTGTTTGGATATACTTAACTTCCTTCTAAGAAGTAACATCTTTTTCCACAATTATATTGCAGTAATGTTTGAAAAGTCTCAAAGATTAAAATGTTGGGTTTTTTTCTAGTAATGTAAGTGGTTTTGGGTTTGTTTTTATAGAAGATTCATTGTGTAAGTTTTACCTCTGTGATTCTGCTTACAGCCTCAGTAATTTACTGTAGTAGTTTGGATTCCTATGCAGAAAGGGGGTTTATAAATTAAGTGTTTCTGAATTTTCTTTATAATACAATTAAAAATTATAAAAACGTATGTTTATATGCAGTTTATTCTGTAGTGCAAATAGCCTCTACAGAGAAGAAAAGTTGCAAGACAGGAAAGTTACTCCAGAAAACTAGAGGGCTGAAATCAGCAATCAGATACTGCAATTCAGTCTGCAGTACTTTTTGTATTATCTGCAGTGCAGAGCAGAGCAGGACAATCCCCTCCCTTGCCTGGCTGGTGATGCTGCCCCTGATGTCCCCAGGACAGGGTTGGCCCTCCTGGCTGCCAGGGCACTGCTGGCTCATGTCCAACTTGCCATTGACCAGGACCCCCAGGTCCCTTTCCATGGCACTGCTCTCCAGCCTCTCATTCCCCAGTCTGTACACACAGCCCCATCCCAGGTGCACAATCCAGCACTTGCCTTTCTTAAACTTTACACAGTTGGAGATTGGCCAACCCTTTAATTTGTGGAGGTCTCTGCAGGGCCTGTCTGACCCTAAGGGAGTTGACAGCTCCTCCCAATTCAGTGTCATCCACAAACTTACTCAGTATTCCTTACCATCCTGCATTAAAGAGCACAGGGCCAAGGATGGAGCCCTGCAGGACCCCACTGGTGACAGTCACCACTTTGATGTGCCCCATTCACTGTAAGGGACAGCCACCACTCTGATGTGCCCATTCACTGTAGCCCTTTGTGCCCAACCCATCAGCCAGTTGCTTACGTGTCATGTGACTCAGATATCCAGCTGTGTGCTGGGCATTCTGTCCAGAAGGCTTCTGTGAGAGACAGTGTCCAAAAGCTTTGCTGAAGTCCCAGAAGATCACATCTGCTGGCTTTCCTAGATCACCTAGGTGGGTTTACCTGTTGTAGAAGGAAATCAGGTTCATCAAGTAGGACATCCCCTCATGAAGCCATGCTGGCTCTCAACAACTGTTACTGGTGGTGTATTTCTGTATTTATGGTTGGAATACTTTGGTTTTGTTTATCAGAATGCACTGAATAAAGACCTCATTAATCTTTTCCCCGTGACTATCAGTCCTAGTAAATTTGGAGTATATGAACAGTTCATTATTTTGAGTTAATCATAAACCTTCATCTTTCTTTGTTCTAACTTTGTTACTCCTCACAATTTTCCTTTGCCCTGAAAATAATCTTGAAATTTTTTATTATCCAGAGATGCTGCCAGTCTACTACGTGTCTCTTCACATTAAAAGATACATAAAACAATAGTTTCAGTATAAATCCATAGGGCACTTTTAGTATTTGTCAGGTTGAAAACTAGCCATCCTCAGTACTTGCTTCTTGTGAATCACTTTTAACTCAGTCCATGCCCAGCCAGATTCCGTAGTTGTTTTGTGTGAAAAACTTGTTCAGAACCTCCTGAAGTGTCCAGTTAAATGGTATTCTTTTAAAAGCTACCTTTTTTGCAGTCTAAAGGTTTGATACTGAATGCTTACTGATTTGAGATTCATGGATTTTAAAAGGTTACACTGATTTTCATAGAGTTATAGGATGGTTTGTGTTGGAAGGGACCCTGAGGATCATCTTGTTCCAACACCTCTGCCACAGACAGGGTTGCACAGAGCCCCCTCCAGCCTCACCTTGAGCACTGCCATGGATGGGACATCTGCAGCTTCTCTGGGCAACCTGTTCCAGTGTCTCACCACCCTCACAGGTGTTTTGTTGTTCTATCACTCTCTTTAATTCTGTTTTTTAATAATTTCAAACCATTTGTCTACTCCTTGAGGTAAAAATCACTCGTAACAGATCCAATCATACCTGGTTAACATTCTGTGACTTCCCTGAAAATAGGTACAACATAGTTGTCTTGTTTCTCTTTTCAAAGATGAATGGGCATCCAGTCCTACAGTTGAAAATAAAGTGGTAAAAAATGTTGATTTTGATTAGTGTACCGAGAGTTGAAAGTGGTCTGTATGTATGACAATACTCAGGTGTGAGTAGATGTCAAAACACCTTACAAACAAGATCTCTCTCTTTTCTCCCATGTGGCAAATGCAAGAGTAGATCTCTTACTCTGTGGCAAAGGCTGCAGCAGAATTGTTTGTTTCCTGTTTGGATTCACCACTATGGCAGATTTGCTGGTCAGAAATAATAGTTTTTTCTGCAGCTGTGAGTTGTAACTATTCCATATGCAAAACTTTTGAAAAAGAGATGACTGCAAGTAGAGATTTTACTTTGTTGTTGGTTTAAAATGCAAATGCATTTATCTATTTGCAAGCTGTAGTGGCAGCTTTCTGTTCAGTGCATGCATAAGCATGCAAGTAGCCTAGAAGAAGTATTTGAAGTGGATTCTGAAATGGCACCATCATCTTAATTATGTAAAATTCTCAGTTCTTCATATTTTTGTTCTATTTTTGGAACAGTTATGAAAAATGGAGATTAGACTTCACTGTACAGCTCATATGGCATCTAGGTCCTCTTACTAAATGTGTTTAAAGTTTGGTGACTTTTTTATTACACACAAACAGTACAGAAGTAACCTAAAATGTGAGTAAGAGTGCAACTATTGCAAGTAGATGTCTGGGTGATAAAATATTCAGCTTTCTCTGTGCAGCTGCTAGCAGTAGCCAAGGTCTGTGCTACAGTTTTTCATCTGGGAGAGAGGAGAAACACTTCAAACCACTACCAGAATAGATGGGCAGTAGCTAAATTGCAAAGTGCAGAAATAGACAGAATTGTAAATTATCACAGTAAATACTGTCAAAGCAGGGCTGTGCAAGGTGCTGGACCAAAACCATACACTTTGACTTACACAGATGAAAGTAAGGGTAGTGAATATAATTCAAATGCTATCGGATCCATGAATAAGTATAGGATTTGGCCAAGAAGATGACAGTTTGAAGAAAAGTGGTGATTCCTCAGCTGTGAAACACTTGAGTGAATTACTGGGTATCAGCATGTTCTGAAATTTAATATTTTATTAATGCTAACTGAACTTTAACTGCTGCTTAATGAAATGACACCAGATGAGGTATTTACAAATACCAGTAAAGCCATACAAACACAGATGTTTCAGTGTTTGGTTTATGTATCATTGAGTGTTATATCATTATATATCATTGAAATTATCTTCATGCTTCTGGCACTGCCCTGCTTTCCTCATGAGGCTGGTGGCTCTCAGAATCGCTGGCTGCAACAGTGCTGGGCTTGCTGTCCCTCCTGAACACACAGAGCTCTGACTGGCTCTGGAAGTGCCCCCTCTTCACTTGGAGCATCATTTTCATGTGACTGGTAATTTAGCTGCTTACTAATGGTTGGACTCAATGATCATAAAGGTCTTTTCCATCTTAAATTATTCTATGATTCTGTGGCTATTTTTTATATTTTTGATAAGGCAGAAGCAGGATAAACATACTGACACTTCCAAAAGCAGATACCAGAACGTATGATCGTTACATTTTTGGAATACAAAAATATTTGAGGGGTTTGGATTTCCTGGGGCTTTGTTTTGCCCAGATAGAACCTAGGAGAGTAGAGCTACAATGGAGAATAATTTAAAGCATATTTGTGGAAAATAGTCCAAGTTAATACACACTCTAAAATGCCACCATTAATCCAACACCTTTGTAGACAAAGTAACGGCTATTGAGCGTGTGGTGCAGTGTCACAGCACAGAAGATGCCTGCTAGGCACTATGCAAAGTCCAAGGCTTTTCTTACACAAAAAGACAAAAGTTCAGAGCAGATTTATGCCTTGCTCAGGAAAGATGCAAGGAGCTAACCTTGCCTCTTGTCTTCCATAGAGGCAGCAAGGCCAAATCCATGACTGTGCTTGTTGTCCCAGAGAAAAACCCTGCTCTGACTGTAGCATTTCTTACTGATGGAGAAGCTGGAACTTTGGCACAAATGCTACTCAAATTAATCACTAAAGAATGGATTTAGAGGGAGGAGGACAAGGATTCTGGTCTCATAGGAATCAAGATTTCATTGGTGTGCAGGATGGCTGCATAAACTAAAAGCGCTACAGCTGAAGGTACCTGACTATTGCTGTGGAAAACAGTAAGTTCCAGATACAGGTTTGAAGACCTGAAGTTGAAAAAAGCTTTAAAAAATGTACAGTGGCACCCAAAGGCACTATGAGTTGGCTGGGGTTGACAGAGGATGGATTAGTTTAATTGCTTCATGCTAGCAGAGGAAATGGGGGATTATAAAGGAATTTACAAATACATCAGTGCAGAAGTAATATTTGGGGAAGGAAGTGAGTAGTTTTCTCATTCCCCTTATGTAATAGTAATGAAGTCTGATGTGGTAGAGCATCAAGGCTTTAAAAGAGAAGGGCCTTTTCCTGACTTGGAAGGTTATTCCATAGGTAAAAAGAACAAGCTGACTGATACATATTGCAGGATATTCATTAAAGTGACAGAAAATATGTATCAATGCCAGTTTTTATTTAACACAATGTAATGGATAAGTGGAATGTAAGAGCTGAATAAATACAATATAGTAAAACTTTTGTTAAGTCTAACGTCTCTGTAAATGTTAAGGATTTTTTTTGCTCATGTTGCATAAGGGCATTCTGGCATCTGTTACAACACTACAGAACAAATAACACTGTGAAGAATCATTTGCAACAGTGTTTGTATTGATTGAATTTAGTCAGAAGCAGAGTCTGTGTTTCCAGCACTTCTGACCAGACTAGGCCCAGTAAAGACCATCAGTGTGTTTGAGGTAAACAAACAGAGGCAAGTTTCCATGTGTCTCCTTAACTCTGGGAGCATCACAGCTCATTGAGTGCCTCCATGGTGAGCTTGTTTGGAGTTCTGCTTCTGCACGTGTTCCCAGCAGCTGATGGTATCTGGTAATCACTGCTGAAGTTGTAGAAACTCTGATTTTTTTGCCTAAATCCTATAAAAGACCTGATGTGCTTAGGCCCCTTGGGCTCTCACTTTCAGCTGACTGCCCCTGCTCCAAAGCTACAGAGCAACGTTCCAGAATGGGAATGGGCAATGGAGTGGATGAATGGAATGAATTACATACATGTCTGTGCTAAAATTTTCTCCTGTGACTTTGTGTGCTTATCATGAAATCTTGCTTGAAAAATAAATTCAGATTTGCCTTATAAGAAAGAAAGAAAGAAAGAAACATTTGTGATTTTAAAGTTGTCTGAGTAGCAATGGATAGAAATGCAGTTGTTCTATAACCATATAGTGGGTTTAGTGATATTTACAGTCCTGGAGAAGGGGGAGGAAGTTCATGAAGACAGTCTGTTGCTGAAATACATTGTTGGAGTGGGAAAACTTTCAAAAATTAATGGGAAAATATAAAGAAATACAACAGCAACAATCAAAACTTGAGTGGGTACTCCCTGGCCATAACATATAGGCAATGAAAGAGGACTTGGGAAAGCACATTTTAAACCTTCATTAAAGAGATAAATGTGGATACAGTGAGAGGGGAAAAGCCACTGAAGTTTTGGGATGCATGTCCAAATATTGCATAGTAGGGAGTGTGAGAGCTCTTGCTCTGAAACTAATAGTTCTGATACTGTAATTCTGCATGAAATACTGAATTAGTTTTGGGGGTCAGCATGATACTAACACAGTAGAAGAGAAGAATACTGATGTGGTCCCATATGAATAATGATTAGAATAACTTGTGAAAGCAAAGACAAGGCTCAAATACAGAAATTCTTGGGTAGATGCAAAGGGGAGGTAATTAGAATGATTTAGAGTGGCTCTACTATAGAACAGAAGAAAGAAGGTAAACAATAACTTATTTCACCAAACAGCAGTGAAGAGGGAAACCTCTTAGCATCAAGATATGAAGTACTAATTTCCCTTGCAGTTTAGAAGATACTTCTTGGGTTACATGGAAATTTTAAAGCAAAACAGCACAACAAAGCTAAACAAAATGTTGGGAAAATGAAAAAAAAAAAGAATCCTGTCTTGGATTGGCAGAGCAAGAGGTGGACTGAGCTGACCTGACTGGTTTTTCCACCTTTAGACTGTACAGTTGTAAAGCATGTTTATCAGATGACTGTCAGATAATGAGCTCCTGAGAGCACCTGGACTGGATGGCACCTGCAAGCATTAAAGAGGCTTTCCTGTCTTCTTTGTG